CCAGCCCTGCAGCTTGTTGTCTCGGATTCTCCAGCATCTGCAGTTCCTACTATCTTTGTAAAATTTAGGTGTTTTTGCTGCACAAGTTTACAAAATTGATATTTTTGGACAAATTATTTATTTTGTAAAATTTCACACTTTATCCACTTTTTCTGTGCATTGTTTGTAGTGTATATATTTTAACCAACAATTATTTGACATTTTTCTTTTGCATTCACAGTGGAATACAAGGGCAAAGAGGGAGCGGCTTACTGAGTTGATGTTTGAACATTATAATATCCCAGCTTTTTTCCTGTGTAAAACAGCTGTGCTCACAGCGTATCCTTTACTGAATCAATTTTTCAACTGCATATGTGGTACTGAAATTGATTGGTTTTCTCCTCCTGCTTGGATTTCTGCACTGTTGGTTAAAACTGTTTTTAAAAGAAAACATGTTAGTTTATGTAATGCAGAGAAAGCTGTTTTCAGTCATTTTTTGAAAATAACACAACCCTGTCAAATATCACACCTTAGTCTGCGTGTAAGGTCATCACTATCACTAGAGGGAGCACCCCCTATGCATGCAGAGTTAGAGCATTTTGTTAGAATGCCAAGACCAATACCTGTCTGCCAGGGAAACTTCACTAAGTGAACCAACTGTGTTATAATTACAGTCTGGATTTGTGATGCTTATTAATCCATAATCGTGTGAAAAGTAAGACAGATGAGTTAAGAGCATGGATTGACACATGGAATTACAAAGTTGTTGCTACTACATAGATATGGTTGATGGAGGACCAGGACTGACAACTCCACATTCCTGGGTATAGGATCTTCAGGGAGGACAAGTGAGGGTATAAGAGAAGAGCTGGTGTTGTATTATTAAGGAATTAGTTACTGCAGTAAGGAGGGATGATGTCTTCAAATGAGGCACTGGAAAGAGGTAGAAATGGATCATCAACTCGACACTTCTGGCTGAAGATGATTGGTACAAATACTTCAGCTTTGTCTTTTGCACTGATGTGCTGAGCTCCCACCTTGTTGAAGGTATTTGTGGGACTGCCTCCTCTTCCAGTGAGCTGTACAATTGTCAACCACCTTTCACAACTGGATGTAGCAGGACTACAGAACTTTGGGTATTATAGCTTCATTGGTTCATGGCTTATTTTTAGGGATGTCTGGTGCTCTGCCTGGAATGCCTTCATGCACACTTCATTAAACCAAGGCTGATCCCTCAAATTGATGTTAAAAGTCACATGGGATTTTTGCCGCACCATGAGGTTATAGATTGTGGCTGAATGCAATTCAGCTGTTGCCTGCAGCACCTCATGGATGCTCGGTTTTAAGAGGCTGGACCTGTTCAAAATCTATCCTATTCACCACAGTGGTGGTGACACAACATGCTAGAGGCTATCCTCCATGCAAAGAGAGTACTTGTGGAGAAGTTCTACATGGTCACTTCTCCTGATTGCTGATATGGACAGGTGCCTCTGATAGGTAGACATAGTGAGGACAAAGTCAAGCAGATTTCTCTCTTGTTTCCTAACCACATACCACAGACCCAATCTTGCAGCTATGTTCTTTACTGACTAAGCTGGCTGAGTCCTGGTAGCGGGGGTGCTGCCAAGTTAGTCTTGGTGATGGACGTTGAAGTTCCCCACCTGGCGTGCATTCTGTGCCCGAGGCAAACTCAGTACTTCCTCCAAGTGCATTCAACGTGGAGAAGTAATGATTCATCAACTAAAGGTGGTAATCAGTAAGAGGCTTCCTTTCCTTGTCTTTGACATGATGCCACGAGATTTCATGGTGCCTGGAATTAACGTTGAGGACTCTTGAAGCACCTCCATCCCAACTGTTATTGAACCAGATGGGTTTTTATGACTTGATAGTGGCTAGTGGTCACCATGTGGCTAGCCTTTAATTCC